AACCCTTAAGCTGAAATATTCTCTTCAGGTCACTTTTAGCTAAATAACAGACTGACTCATAAAACAAAGAATATCACTCATGAGTAAAGAACTCCTTTGAAAAAGCATCTATCGGAGACCAAATGGTCAACAATTCCTCTAAAGCAAAGATGAGAAGGTAAGGGGTACTGGAAATGGTACAACCAGAAAGGAATGAATGAGAATGATGGCACATTGTGAAAAAATGTAACCAATATCACAGAGCAATTGGTGTAGAAATTGTTAAACAGGAACCTAGTTTTCTGTGTAAACTTTCACCATAAACACAATAAACTATTATTTTAAAAAGACACAATGGTTTAATACTGGTGCAGTTGCTCCCAGGTGGAAGTATGTATGAGGTGGTGTGTGAGTCTCCACGTTCTCTCCGGCCCCAGAGAAGCCAAGGGACCAAGCAGCCTAGAATGCAATGCACCGAGAGGAAAGAGCTGCTCTGCACAGTCCCCCAGACTTGAAGCTGCCTTGACTGGGGCTAGAAAGCCTCGCTTCTAAGAAGCATCCTGCCTGTACTTCTTCCAAGACAGATTTGTTTGTTCTTTCTGCAGTCCATGGTATATTCTTCACCAACACCATAATTCAAAGACTTCAATTCTTCAGTCTTCCTTATTCATTGCCCAGCTTTCACATGCATATGAGGTTGGGATAGATAAGGATCTTCCCCTAGAGCCAAGAGAGAGAGCATAGGCCTACTGATGCTCTGAATTTGGACTTCTAGCATCCAGAACTGTAAGAGGGTAAATTTCTGTTCTTTAAAGCCATCGACTTTGGTATGTTGTTAAGGCAGCTCTAGGAGACCAATGCACCCTTAAGGAGGATACAGCATCAGGCATCACGGGCATTGAGTCTCCACAGCGAGGTGAAGATAAGAGGAAACAGTTTGCTCCACGAAGCCTCAACCTAAAATGTAAGGGACATAAGGCAGGTAACGAGGGCTCTGGGGGCACCAGAGACAACAATGCATCCAGATGAGGGGCTTGGGAAGCACGACCTGGACAAGGTGACATTTTAGGTGTCCTCGAAGGGCAAATGGGTTGGGATTTCGACAGAGATGGAAGGAGAGTTAACACAGGGGCAAATGCACAGGGCTGGAAAGTGTAAGACTTGACTGAAGAATGAGGAGCCATCTAGTTTGTATACAAGGATAGCCTCTTTTGTTACCAGTAGTAGCAATAAGAAGAACGAATAGTTATAAAGGACTTGCTGTGCCAGGCACTGTGCTAAGGACTTTGTTTTCTCGAAGCAACAACCCAGCAAGGTGAGTCCTCATATTATCACCCCTTTTTACATCCACATACTACGTGGTGGGACCGTGCCCCAGAAAGGACTTCAGCGTCCACACTCTGCTCAGTTTCCTGCGGAAAGCCCCGACTGCCTCCACCTCCCACTTGAGACAGGGATTATCCGAGGATAAACTTCCCTCGACCGCCATTCCATTCCCTAGAAATGGAGTGAAAACATTCATATTCCTAGCTCCTCAGACATCAAATTATACCCTTAAGAGGTAAAAGACAGCCTACAATAACAACCCCATTCAACTAGAAGATCAATATTCAGGTGAAGGATGCCCTGCATTCTCTCTTTCTTGTTACTTTATGCAAATATTTCTTATATGTACATGGCCTTTGTCGGGCATTCTGTCTGGGATCTGTTGAGGTCTGAAGGACACACTGTGTTTTAAAAACTGCAAAGAGGGGAAGTGAGGAGCGGATTACTTAGAGGTAGAATTCGTAGGTCTTTCCTTTCCAGGAGATGTTACAATTTAAGTCAATCATGTCATAAAAAAAAGGCTTACCATTTTTCTTTATTTTCATCTTCCTGGAAATGCTGAGATTTTACTGTTACAGGGCCAAGAGAATTGTGACTTTAATCTCACCGTCTTCTTCAATTTTATTCATACCACGTTACTTTCTTTTTTCTTCAGCTACGAGGTTACTTTAAAATGCCTATGAACGTTTAATAATCAGCTGCCATGAGACAAATGTATTTAACTGTCCCATGACTATCTTATCTCCTAGGCAGCTGCCAGCTTATTTATTTGGGTGTACACTTCTGGAGGACATTCCCAGCCAGTGCACCTCAAGCACAGCCACCACTGTGATTTCAGTGGAGCTTCTAGACTAAGATGGACTAGGAAGAAAGGCCTGGTGATCTGCTTCTGAAAATCAGCCCCTGAAAACCCTATGGATCACAACAGTCTGATCCTATTGTGCATGAGGTTGCCATCAGTCAGAGGCCGACTCGACAGCAGCTAACAACCACATTTCAAGCGGCGGCTGCTCAGTTCTATAAAGCTGGTTGTGGTGGAGTCAAGACATCTGTCTCAATCTCCTTGGGCTGCCACAACAAAGCACCACAAAGTGGGTGGCTTAAAGGACAGAGATCTATTGTTTCATAGTTTTGGAGGCTAGAAGTCCAAGTCAGGGTCTAGGCGGTGTCGGCTCCTGAGGGCTTTGAGGGAGGAACTGCCCCAAGCCTCTCTCCTAGCTTCTGGTTTCTGTCGGGAGTTCTTGGTGTTCCTTCGCTGCTTGTAGGTGCATCTGCTTCCATCATCACACGGCGTCTGTCTTCCCCCGTGTAACACTGTCTGCGTGTCTGTTCTCCTCTTTTATAAAACACCACTCAGAAAGCATTAGGATTAGGACTCACTCTCTCCAGTATGACCTTGTTTAACTTAACTGATAACAAAAGAAAAACCCGAGGATTTCCAAACAAGGTCACGTTCACAGGTTCAGGGGTTAGGACTTCGGTATATCTAAGGAAGGACACAGTTCAATCTGCAACACCATCTAAGTGTGTTCTTGTGGCTGGTGGGAGCCTAAGATGCTACTGAACCACACTGAGGCAGAGGCGGCACAGGGGGAGCCAGGGTGATCACTCCTGACCAGGGACTGTCAACCGGGGTCAAGAGGGGTACACTGAAATCTCTAACAGGTTTTTTTCCAAGTCCTATACCTCTTTCCACACCCCCAGCCCCGCTTGATAATCAATGCCACAGTGAGCCTATCTGTCTCTCTCACAGGAGAAATGGGGACCAAAACACAATTACCAAAGCAATAGTCACAGTCACGGGAATCTGTGCGGTGCACAGTCTTGCCTGAATTTGCCCGGTCGTGTCCTGCTGTGCAAAGATAAAACCTGGCAAGCAGGGCCCCAGGGCAGTGTATTGGTCAAGGCCTGGAGGAGGCCCTCTGACAGAGCTGACCCCTGCCCTCTCAGCCAAGGCTTCCCCGTCCAGTGCCAGCTCTGCCATCTCCATGGAAGAAAGGCCCAGAAAACTGTTTCTGCAAAGATTACAACCAAGAAAACCCTATGGAGCAGTTGTACTCTGTAACACATGGTAGCAGCTAACCACAACAACAGGTCTACAGCAAGAGGCAGCACAGCACAGTGGTTAGGAACACGGACTCTGGTAACGATGGCACTGCTCCTTACTGGCTGTGTGGCCTGGGTAACTTTCCGTGCTAAGATACTAAATGCACCCACCTCATTAACGCTATTGTTGAGGACGACATTAATTAATACACGCAAGGACTTGGGACAATGCCTAGCACACAGTAAGTGTGCTGATGCCTGCCGAAGGCCAACCTGTGCTGCCTCCAGCCAGGGGCCAAGAACAGACTGATGAGACCAACCTCTTGCTTCCAGGGACACAGGCCATAGTGGGGCCAGACCTACGCCCACTCTTGCCGCCCCACAAAAGTACCACGTGCAGAGGTACTCACAGAATGGAAGGAGAGAGATGTCCATACACCTGGTCCACTGAGAACTTCCTCTCATCATATGAAATATGAAGTCGAAGTACAGAGTAGAAGGCAGATTTATTTAGTCAGTTCTCCAGATATCTGGTCTGTCAGTTGTCATACTGTGGTGGCTTGTGTGTTGCTGTGATGCTGGAAGCTATGCCACCAGTATTTTAAATACCAGCAACGTCACCCATGGTGGACAGGTTTCACCAGAGCTCCCAGACTAAGACAGACTAGGAAGAAAGGCCTGGAGATCTACTTCTCAAAGTTAACCAATGAAAACCTTATGAATCACAGCAGAACATTGTCTGACTCACTTGTTTTGGACACATTATCAAGAGGGATCAATTGCTGGATGTGACATCAAGTTTGGTGAAGTAGAGGGCCAATGAGGGCACAGGAGACCCTCAGTGAGATGGAATGGCATAAGAGAAGCAATGATGTCAATGACCATGAGGATGATGCAGGACTAGGCAACATTCTGGTATCCTGTACACAAGGATGTCATGAGTCAGAGTCATCCTGATGACAGCTATCTACCTATCTGACTATCCAGATATCTGCTCCCATTTCTGCCTACAACATGGACTATCAAGCCATTATAACAGGGGTTCAGATATGCCCTAAGGACCAAATCATGCTTGAACCTCAACATAACAATGTTATAGAAAAAGCCGGCTGCAAACCCAGCTCTCCACATCAGTATTCTATCTTGAACTAGATTAATCAATTAGCATTTACTGGGCATCCACTATAATCAGCATACGGTACTTAACTTCCAGAAATCGTACAGAAAATAATGGTACCCGGTTCTACAGAAGCTTATCCATGCCCTACAAGACCAAGTATTTATTAAGTTCTCACTTTATGCCAGGTACTGATGCAGGCGCTAGGGAAAGAGCAACGACTGCAGAAGATTACAGCCCTGCCTTCTGGAGCATACGATGCAGGGGGTGGAGGAGGACTGATAACAAAAAATAACTAAGTGAATTGTACAGTGTGTCAGTTGGTATAAGTTATATAGAGAAAAATGAAAGTGAGAGGGGTATCGGGAGTATCTGAATGGAGGGTGAGTACAGAGGAGTCAGAGGGGAGAAGGTATACTGGCACTCGTGAACTTGGGTAGCATGAGAGCTGGTGAGCCTGCCTGAGAGCCTGCCGTGGTGGGTGGGAGAAAGCGCGCGGGACTTCAGCAGGCTCTGGAGCAGAACGGAAAACATGAAAGAGACTCAGGGTCTGCAGCCAGAACGAGCCACAGGGAGGGAGTCAGATGTGCCCGGAGCACCACCACAGTCAAAGGAAGAGGCCACAAATCCACGAGCCATAGACTTCAGCCCCAAAGGTCAGCAGAGCACCTGGTGACCAGACAGGAAGGGGACAGCCAACTGAGATCTAGAACTGAAAACTACTAGGTGTAAGCCAGGGCACCCCCAGGAACCAGCAGCAAGCTAGGTGCCCCTCTCCCCTCTCATTTCATAAGGACCCTTAAGCCACACCTGGGCCCCTTGGGGGAGAGAAACCGGGAAGGTAGGGAAAGCTGTGTGAGAGGATACGTGTGTTATCCAAGAGAAACTGAACACTACCTGAAGGGCTGTTCAGTGCATCCGGCTGCACTAAGCTTTCCTCAGGACAGATCATTAATTTTCTCTTGCTACCCAGTAGGTGAGGAGCCCTGGTGGTACAGTGGTTAAATTGCTAGGCTGCTCACCAAAAGGTCGGCATTTCAAACCCACCAGCCGCTCTGCAGGAGACAGATGTGGCAGTCTGCTTCCATAAAGATTCCAGCTTTGGAAACCCTGTGGGGCAGTTCTACTGCGTCCTATAGGGACGCTACGAGTAGGAATCGATTCAACGGCAATGGGTCTGGTTTTGGGCTACCCAGTAGGTGAGAGCTCAAGGGAAAACCAGATCATTTATAGATGAAGATATTACATTTTCTTGGTGGTGGAGGAGGTGGAGAGCAAGAAAAATCAGAGACAGTGGATACAGAAACTCTTGAGGAATTGTGCTGGAAACATGGAAGTGCCACAGAAGAGAGAGAAAAGTTGATGGTGCAGGAGAGAGAGCCCCACGTGTGTCAGAGCAGAACCGTGCTCCACAAGGTTTTCAGTGGGTGATTTTTCAGCCTGCCAGGCCTATCTTCCCAGACACCTCTGGGTGGACTCAAACCTCCAACTTCTCAGTTATCAGCCAAGCGCGTTAACTTTTTCCACTGCCCAGCACCCCACTAGAGGCTGTGAATGTCAAGTGACACACTTCATCGGCTATTTGGAGCCTGCATAGGGTAAGCAGCGAGCTCAAGTTAACCAAGGGTGTAGCTGCCTCTGGTCAGGCGGACAAGTATGACAAACGAAGGAAAGAGCCTGGGAGTTGACTGTGTGTGCCTGGGCGTGACTGCAACAGCTCAGGGAGTTTATGCTGCTAAAGGAGAGAAGTGAGAACGGGAGGCAGAAGAGGGACAAGGAAAAGGTAGGAGAGCAACCAACGCGAGGTCCCGGGGGATGAGGGATGGCTGGAGCCCAGGTGACGGGGAAAGTTAGCTAGTGAGAGAGGGGTGGTGGCCAGAAACTGGGGAGACTGAAATGGAGCTGGAGGGCTCCCCGGTCCTGGGTTAAACATTAAATAAAAATGAATGGCCATTTGTGCCAGGTGCAAAGGCTTTCCAAGAACAAATAAATCAAAATGGCCATGTGTGCCACGTACAAACCTTGACAGAACATGAGGGAATTTTTCAGAGTGTTCTAACCACAGTAACTCTCCAAAAAGAACAACCTGACAGTTAAAAATGTTTCTGACCCACCATACCAGACTCCACCAATTCCCAACAGACAAGTGTCCTTATAAAGACAATGGCAGAAGACCCTCCCTTCCACTAAGGACATATCTAAGACCCGATCGTTGTAATTTCCCTACTGAAAATCCTCTGACTGCTTTTAAAAACACCTGTACTAGAGCTACTTCAACGAGCTTGTTTTGGGATGCTTCCTGTTCAAGAACAGCTTCTAGCTCAATAAACCCTGTTAACACTAACTGACTCGTGGATTCAATTTTTCTTTTGGACACTAGTAAATGGTAAGATGATACAGAGCCCTGGTGGTACAATGGTTAAGTATTCAGCTGCTAACCAAAAGGTTGGTTTGAACCCACCAGCTGCTCTGCAGGGAAGTTGTAGCTGTCTGCTTCTGCAAAGATTACAACCTAGGAAATCCTATGGGGGCAGTTCTACTCTGTTCTATGTGGTCGCTATGAGTCCGAACCGACTCAAGGGCACACAACAATAAGGTGTCAGACATGTCCGGAGGAGTGGCTGGCTGACATGGGTGGAGGACAAGATCACTGATCGAAAGGGAGTCAACAAACTGAGAGGCCGAGGCAGTGCCAGATTCATGTGTGGGGCGTGAAGCTTGTCAGTAGTGCTTGAGAGAGTGAGGGTGAGGCACCTAAATCCTCAGAGAATGAGGGCTAGTGATAGGGGGGTGGACTCCGACCCAGCTTCCATTCAAAGTTGGAGGTCTGAAGAAGGCTGGAAATAGCAAAGATGAGGAAAGTGACACCGACCCCTCCTCCAAGCCTGTGTGTGAAAGAGGACGGGCTGGGGAGCACATCCCTAGGGGAAAGCCAGCTTTCAGCTGGAGAACAAAGACACCTTGGGAGGAAAGCTTGAGGGTGTAAGCTTGCCACAGCAAAAACACCAACTCTGCTGCCCTCGAGTGGATTCCAACTCACTGCCACCCTACAGGACAGAGTAGAACTGCCCCATAGGGTTTCCAAAGAGCAGCTGGTGGATTCGAACTGCCTACCTTTTGGTTAGCAGCTGAGCTCTTAACCATTGCACCACAGGAGGGGTGAAAAAATGCTTGACATGTGTCCATCCAAAGAGATACAGGACTGAGCAATATGTCATGGCTTTCGGTCCTGGCAGGAGGGCTAGGCCGGCTGAGGGGGCTGAATTGGCAGTTTGGTAGATGTGGGGCCTGCAGCTCTGGAATCAGACAGACCAGCGTCCAAATCTAGCCTCTTACTGCCTGTGTGACCTCCAGTCCGTCCATCGGTAAAATGAGCTCTTAAATGAAAAGCACACGGCCAGACACATCCTAAGCACACAATAAACGCCAGCTATTGTCATTAAGACCACGATGAACTAATTCATAAACGAGTTTTAGTTTTTTCCCAAAATTTCTTTCTTTGTGGTCTTGGCAAATGGTCTGGTTTTATACGTTTATAAAATATTTTGTACCCAGGAAGGAAAAGTTTACCATATATGAATGTACTCAGATGTCCACGTAAATACTTAAGCCTTGTCCTTTAAGATGAGTAAACATGGTTAAGTCAACCGATTTCAGAGTTGTAAGGGACTGGTGAAATTATTTGGTTCAACTCCCTCCCCCATCACTCAAGAGTTGGCCTAAGAGGAGGACGAAGCTCGAAGCTCGGCGGGGCCAGGAACCACCCGACGTGTCACGGCTACTTATTCGGTTGCAGAGACAGGGCTAAGGGCTAGAACCCAGGAGGGATTCTAGACTCGGGTCTAGCTTCCCCTCCTGCCCTTTAGCTTGGCGGCGTCCTGGCGATTCGTGGTGAGCCTTCCTACCCGTCAGAGCGCAGCCACTGCCCGAGGTCCCCCAGCCCTTCTCCTCCGTTCCCGACGGACAAAAGAGCCCACACTTAGCCGGGTGCAGAAACCAACCTCGCTGGGGCCAGAAATCGCTTCCTGCGACCTAGTGCGCTCGTGACTGTGGAGAGCGGTGCTGCAAAGTACACGATCTTGAAAGAGGGCGCGGACAGGCGGGGCGGGGCAGCCGATCGGGGCGGGGCTGCGCGCCTCAAAGTCCGACCCTCAGAGCCGCAGTTCCCGCGCCCGGCGCGCCGGAGCTCGGGCAGTGTCACCAGGGCTCCCCGTGGGCCCCGGCTCTGCAGCGCTCCGTGCTCTGCCGGGCGCCCGCTTCGCACGGGCTGTGCAAGGCAGCACGGGAGCCGCCGGGGCTGGGGATGCAGCGGCGCGACGAACGCCGCTGCTCCTTCTTCCCCTGGGGACCCTGGTGCCAGTGACGGCGGTGTGCCTGGGCCTGTTCGCCGTCGGGGTGAGTGGCAACGTGGTGACCGTGCTGCTGATAGGGCGCTACCGGGACATGCGGACCACCACCAACCTGTACCTGGGCAGCATGGCCGTTTCCGACCTGCTCATCCTGCTCGGCCTCCCCTTTGACCTGTACCGCCTCTGGCGGTCGCGGCCCTGGGTCTTCCGGCCTCTGCTCTGCCGCCTCTCGCTCTACGTGTGCGAGGGCTGCACCTACGCCACGCTGCTGCACGTGACAGCGCTCACCGTCGAGCGCTACCTCGCCATCTGCCGCCCGCTCCGTGCCCGCGTCCTGGTCACCCAGCGCCGCGTCCGCGCGCTCATCGCCGCTCTCTGGGCCGTGGCGCTGCTCTCAGCGGGGCCCTGTCCTCCTTATTTCTCATGGGCGTCGAGCAGGAGGACCCCGACATCTGCGCGGTCCGGAACCTTAATGGCACCGCACAGGTCACTCCCTCGTCACCCGCCTCGCCGCCAGGGCCCTCGCGGGCGCCACCCGTCCCCACCGTCGGGGCCCGGGGCAGCGGCGGCCGCAGCGCTGTTCAGCCGCGAGTGCCGGCCGAGTCCGGCGCGGCTGGGCGCGCTACGCGTCATGCTGTGGGTCACCACAGCCTATTTCTTCCTGCCCTTCCTGTGCCTCAGCGTCCTCTACGGGCTAGTGGGGCGAAAGCTGTGGAGGAACCCGGGGCCGCTGCGAGGCCCGGCCGCCTCCGGGCGGGAGGAGGGCCATCGGCAGACCGTCCGCGTCCTGCGTAAATGGCGCGACCACTGTGCCAAGCACACTCAGCCCTCGGCCGGCCTCGCTGAGTGAGGCTGTGCAAACAGGCCTGTGTGCCCGTCCCTCCGCCCAGCCCTCTGCGCCTCTTCCAGCTACAATTCCTTTGTGCATCCGTACTTCCCGTCTCCAGAGAAAACCATCTGCTGCCCCTAAGGAGCTCAGGGTGACCCCTGAGGGTGGAATCCTAGGGTTTCGGGAAATAGCAGTGATTTCCCAAAAAGCCTCTGTGATCAGTGAGCCGAGCTGATCCAGGATGGGTAATTGGAGGCTCTTAATCCAACTGCCTGTCTTTGATGGATGCCGCAGATGTGGATTACCAACTACTTTTGAGAAAATGGGGCAGATTACACAGATTACATTAAGCTAAATTTTTTACTTAATGTTAAATTATCTTGAAGGCTAAAGTGAACCATGTGCATATCAAAAAGTAAAAGATTATGCAGACCTGTTGCACAATTCTTTTCAGCGGAGGACAGGTCTCTAAAGTAGATTTGTGGAAGGAAGCCTGCCAGAACAGATTGTTCGTAGAAGTTGTTCCTTCTGTTTTATGTCCAGCCTTGAGAGCACTTAAGTGAGACAAATCAGCAGCTTAAAGCAAATACCGATGCAGTCTGCAACCTGGGAGTTTTTCTGGGGTGGGGACTTAGCTAGGTAAAGTTCTAGCTAATCTAGTTTGTTGTTAGTTATTACTTCAGATGGTTTCCTGGGACACTTGTTTCCCCCCACTTTTGCTAATTCGGGTGCTCGTGTCTTGTTTTGCAGTGGTGGTGGTTCTGGCATTTGTAGTTTGCTGGTTGCCTTTCCATGTTGGCAGAATCATTTATGTCAACACAGAAGATACCCAAATGATGTACGTCTCTCAATACTTCAACATAGTTGCTCTGCAACTTTTCTGAGCGCATCCATCAACCCAATCCTCTACAACCTCATTTCAAAGAAGTATAGAGCAGCGGCCTATAAACTGCTGCTTTCCAGATAGTCCAGACACAGAGGTTTCTGCGGAAGCAGGGACAGTGGAGGGGACACTGGGGGGGGGGGGGACACTGGGAGACACACCTGGCTGCACAGAGTCCAGTGCTAACATAAAGACAACAGCATAACCAGCACGGCCACGGAAGTCACCACATCCCTCAATTCTGAGACGCCAGGGAACACAGGTCTGTAGGGAAACAGGTCTGAAAGGGGTACTGATGCTTATTAAGATGAAAGGGAAGAGTCGTTGAAACATTGTGAGTTGGGCTAAAAATTGTCAGCATGTTTTTTTTGTAACTAAGGTATGAAATGTAACTGTACCAATCTATTTCCTCTTTTGTGTCCTTCTAAGGAATGTGCGTTTTAGCCTCCTTCATGGTTGTGACAAGTAGCACAAAACGTGCTCTGGGAAGTTATTTATAAGTCATCATTTTCCTAGTCTTTGGAAATATGCTATGATTGCTCAGTTTACAGTTAATGAGTGATACAGAGACATGCAGCCATAAAAATCATGAGGTCAGGTGTGTGTGTGTGTGTGTGTTTTATGTTCTGGATATAAATATAAGGCTGCATACACAAGGAACCCAGGATAATGAGTTTGGATCCAAAAAATTATTTAATGCCTATATATGGCAGTAACAACATTTAGACGTAAAAGGAATTCTGGGGAGACTCCAAGGTCCCACCCCTTACTGGTTTTGGAGTAAGTCATACAGGCCGGGCTCCATCCCCCTCCTTCTGAATTACTTTGCATAAACAAGCGTTGCAACCTACTTCTTCCTAGTCCTTCCCCGGGGGACTTTCCTGGGGCTGTTGGCCATGAGGCAGCAAACTCCGGAGCTGAAGGCTGCAGGTGGAGCGCTCCACAAGGCTTGGCCTGCCAGTGTGACTGCTAATGACGTTTGCAACGCGTTTTAGTAGATCTCATCTGGCCTCAGCTGGGTGGGGTAGGTTTTGTCATCCTTTCTGTTTTACTAGTGATGAAAGTGAATCTCAGATTTCCCCGAGGTCTCGCAAACAGGAGCTGGAAAGTCTGAGCCTGAACTCGAAGTTTTGGTTTAAGATCCTTACACAGCCCCATACCAGATGATGCTTTGACTGAAAAAACAAGTGTCCATGGATTTAGTCAAGCGTGAAAAAGAATGTGTTGGACATACCAATGACTCTAATTGTTTTTTTTTTTTTACATTTTAAAACATGAATGTTTTGCAGAAGGCTGCTGCTGTGTGGCACAACTACAAAGGCCCCATTCACACCAGAGTCTGTATGAATGGCGCCCTCTGTAGGTGGGCAGGGCACCACTTGTGCAGTTGTACATGAGCCCTGGTTTTCAGATGAATAAAGTTCAAATCTAAATTACAGTAGATTCTGGATGTTTATGAGGACTTTGTCCTGAGCTTTTAATGAATCTTCAAATGTGCAAATACCACTAAAGTATAACCAAAAAAAGGGAGAAAAATTGCTGTCAATTCTGACTCATGGCCACCTCATGTCTGCAGAGTAGAACTGTACTCCATAGGGTTTTCAAGGCTGGGACCTTTCCTTCTGAGGCGCCACTGGGTGGTTTTGAACCACCAACCTTTTGGTTAGTTAGTTAAGCACTTAACCATTAGCGCCACCTAGGGACTCCTACCCATCGCCGTAGAGTCAATTCTGACTCATAGCGACCCTATAGGACAGAGTGGAACTGCCCCATAGGGTTTCCAAGGAGCACCTGGTGGATTCGAACTGCTAACCTTTTGGATGGCAGCTGAGCTCTTAACCACTGTGCCACCAGGGCTCCCGAGGGACTCCTAGTAAAGCATAAAAACCAGACCAGTTGCCAGAGAGTCAATTCCAACTCATGGCGACCCCATGTGTGCAAAGTAGAACTCCTCCATAGGGTTTTCAAGGCTGGGACCTTTCAGAAGCAAATCACCAGGCATTTCTTCCAAGGTGCCTCTGGGTGGATTTGAATCACCAACCCTTCAGCTAGTAGTCGAGCACTTAGCCATTTGTGCCAAGGAGGGACTCCTAGAAAATCATGAAAGGCTGTAAAATATAACTTCTTCAGAGTCACTGCCTTTCCAAGGACAAACAGAAGTAAAGTCACAATGAGATCTGGGAACTGAAGAGTCGGCCACGTTCACTTGCTGACTCAGTTACTCTCTTTGCTTCACAGCTCACAGTCTGGGCCTCCGCAAGTTTCTGAATTACTTCCTGTCACAGACCACTATGGTCTCTTTGGAATAGTTGAAACTGCAGATGATGAGTACATAAACAAAGGTCTGTTTTACATGCTTACAGAGCTCTATTGCTTTTTCATTTTATTAGCCAAATACGGATGATTCACCCATGTCCCCCTGCAAGCATCCTAATCCCCTGGCCCTGTCCTCACCCAGTGAAGTCTCTGGTCTACCATTTTGTTTCTCCCAGCTAGTGGAAAAAGCAGATATCAGTCACTCTGGGCACATTCCCTAAACTGTTCTGCAGATTTTCAGAGGTAAATTGAAAAAGGGTTGTGTGGTCAAATATGGTAGGAAAACACTTGTATAGTGTACCCCCCTCCCCGAGAGTCACAACCCACAGTAATGTGTCAGAGGCTCTGAAAAGTCATGCAGTAAGGAGGCGTTAGTTTCACCCAGCATTTCCTTATTTTGCCCCAGAATCACCCCCCACTTTGTGGACTGGAGAACACCATTTGGGAACACTGATGTACAGATTCTCACAGTGGAGGTGCCAGCTTTATGTCACCACCACTTCTCTGCTTGGTAGCACTAAGTAGGGATGTGCTGGGCTGCTGCCACACACAGCCTTTCTGCTCACGGGAGTTCCTCCCTGGAGCAGTCAGAAGTGGCCTCCTCCTCGTGGAAGGTCATGGTTAAGAACCTTCCAGGTAATAGTATAATATTTTAGATACAGAAGCAGAGACCTCTCCTTTGAGCCTTCTTGCTCAGATTCTAGAAAAGAGATGTATGTTACACTCTCCTGTGACCTAAGTGTGTTCCCAGGGGTGGGAGTGGGGAGGATCACCCTTCCTTGGCCTTGGTATCCCTGAGACGGACAGTCTGAAGCCCATCCCCCCTGCAGGGCCACCATGAAGTTGTTTTCAAAATGTCCATTGGTGGGTTATGAAATCAGTTTTTATATGAAAGGATGGAGTAGACATGGGTGGAACCGAGACTGTCCCATGTGGGAAGGGTGACTATTGTGTTGTGAAGCTTGTGCTCCAGTTATATATTGGTTTGTGTCTTTCGGGATCACAAAATAAAATGTGTACTTATTTTGGGTCATGGTCAAAGAAGTTTGGAAAATTGTCCTCAGATGTACCTACCCCAGCAGAGTGGCCTTGTCCTACAGTGACAGCTATAAAAGTAGGGGTCCTCAGAGTGGGAGAAAAATGTGGAACAAAATTCAAGTTCACAAAAAAAGACCAGACTTACTGGTCTGACAGAGACTGGAGGAACCCCCGAGACTATGGCCCCTGGACACTCTGCTAACCCAGAACTGAAACCATTCCCAAAGCCCACTTTTCAGACAAAGATTAGACAGGCCTATAAAACAAACAGTAACACACCTGAGGAGCGTGCTTCTTAGTTACAATTAAATACATGAGACAAAATGGGCAACTCCTGCCCAAAAGCAAGACAAGAAAGCAGGAAGGTACAGGAACTGGACAAATGGACACAGGGAACCCAGGGTGGAAGGGAGAGTGTGCTGTCACATTGTGGGGATTGCAAACAATGTCACAAAACAGTATGTGTATAAATTTTTGAATGCGAAATTAACTTGAGCTGTAAACTTTCACCTAAAGCACAATAAAATTAAAAAAAAAAAAAAAAGTGAGGGTGTTTGGAAGACCCAGGGTGTGGGGCCGAGTCAGAGGTCTCTGGCTTTCACAGTCCTGGACCTCTGTCTTCATTTCCTGGTGCTGCTGTGACATGAATACCCCAAGTGCGTGGCTTTAAAGAACAGACATGTATTTTCTCACCGTGTTGGAGGCTGGAAGTCCAATCCAGGGTCTTGGCTGGGTCGGTTCCTTCCTTGTTGGTAGCCCCGGGTGGTCCTTGGTTTCTTGGCCATCTCCACCTGGTGTCTGTCTTCCTCTGAGTCTGTGTCTCATCTGCTGTTCTTTACAACTCAGAAGTGATGAGATTTAGAACTCACCCTACTGGGTATGGTCTAATTAACATATCAAAGAAAACTCTATATCCAAACAGGATCACATCCACAGGTGTGAACTCTGGTCTGGCTGACACTTTTTAGCCCTTAATATACAGGTGTCAAGGAGCCCTGGTGGTGCAGTGGTTAAAGCGCTTGGCTGCTAACCGAAAGGTTGGCGGTTGGAACCCACCAGCCACCCCTTGGGAGAGAGATGTGGCAGTCTGCTTCAGTAAAGATTGCAGCCTTGGAACCCCTATGAGGCAGTTCTACTCTGTCCTATAGGGTCGCTATGAGTTGGGATAGACTCAATGGCAGTGGGTTGGATTTGGTTTTTGGGGTACAGGTGTCCACTTTAGGAGTCCCCGGGTGGTGCACACTCCAACACACATTATGGGAACTCAGTTTACCCCATAGCAGCCTCACTCCATGAGAGGTCTTCTAAAGTCTCACTGCACTGGGACCTCTCCCTCCGCCCAGACAGAAACGTAAGCTGAAATCCAGCTAGGAGCTCTTTGAGCCTGCGCCCCCCTTCTGCAGGCCAAACGGGTTTTTGTTAGACGAGGTGCCAGGCGTGGAAGAGGGTTTGCCTTTCATTCACTCGATCGGCAAATATTTACTGAGCAACTGCTAAGTGCCAGATGTGTCATGGTGAAAAATTAGTCTGTGTCACGATGTCAAAGTCAACTTTGAATGGCATTTTTTGTTTAAAATGTGTAATTGTGTCATCTAGACTAACCACAGATTCCATTCACAGCTGCATAAAAGCTCTTATATCAAGGAACTGCAGAAGATCAGGTTAGTGATAATCCTCTACAGATGCGCCCCCTTTCCTGCATGAAGCATTTCTACTTCTTAAGGACATGTTCAAGACACTGAACGTGGCACAGCACCTCTGACAGTTCCCTGCACAAGGCTCTCAGGAGACACAAAAGCGAAGTATCCAGAGTGTTGGAAAGTTTGAACCTGTCTTCCCCTGACCACTTTT